TTTTCTCATTTCTTTTATGCTGCAACATATGTAACCATACCACAAAGTGGCTGAAGGCAGTTATATTCCAGGCTCCACTTATTCTCAACTGGAAAGCTCTTTTAGTTTAACCTGTCTGAGCCAAAAGACAGAACAGAGCTTTTGGAGATAGTCTCTCTAACTATGCCATAGAGTGGCTGGAGGCAATTATGACCTAGACTGTACTCAATCTGAACTGGGTTGCTCTACTTGCACAAGAGAAATTTGGAACTTTTTGGCCGCAAAAAATATGCGAAAACAGCCTGAAAAAATAAGTAAGAAAATGCCATATTTTTCCTCCCGGTATCTGGCGGCCCGGCAACTCGGCAACCCGGCAGCTGAGCCGATTGTCCACCGGGTGCCGCAGCCACGGGCGCTTTGACAATGGCCTGGCGGACAATCGGCTCAGCTGCTGGGTTGCCGAGTTGCCGGGCCGCTGGATACCGGGAGGAAAAATATGGCATTTTCTTACTTATTTTTTCAGGCTGTTTTCGCATATTTTTTGTAACAAAAAAGTTCCAAATTTCTCTCGTGTTGTACAGTCTGTTTGAGCAAGAGAGAGTAAAGCTTTTACAAATGGTGCTTCTAACCATTCCATTCCAGTTCAGTTCAAAGTTTGTGTCAAAGGTTTGTAAAGTGATTTTGTCTAAGAAAGTGCCAATAGAAACTACCAAAAGGTAGTAGGCAATGTAAAAGATCAGGGGCAAGTCAAATCTCTATGAAGACTTGCAGAAGTTACATTTGTAAAGCATGTTGTGAGCAGAGATGGTGGTGGTTGAGGTGAAAGAAGTATATGAGGTGTACTCACTTCTCCTCCCAGTTGAGTCTGAGGTGGCAAATTGCACATTTTAAGAGAGAAGTTGCTTTATTGGATAGAGGTTAGAGGTTCAATCATAGCTAGGGGATCTGTTTTATTTCGATGATTTTTAGTTTTGAAGGCTAAGGTAAAGCAATATTATGGCAGATAGTATAACTATATATTTCTGTAAGATATATATGGATGTTCTGAGATAGCAGAATGGAGTACAACAGCCATTAAGTGTGGTAGCTTGAAGGATTAAACTTTATGCACAAGATCATGACTATATGCTTAATTATAAGCTCATATGTATAAATATGCACAATCTAGTGACCTAATACCTGCAAAGTATAGTAAAAGAGACTCTTAGAATACTTGTGTAAATTATGGACAAGTATTGATTTGTAGAGAGAAGTAAGAGCAATGAATGCATAGAAAACTTTTAATAATTACAATTAAGTGTTAGTAATTCTACATATATTCACCAGAGTTCTAGATAGTATAGACAATGGAAATACAAAATATCAAGTGATGGTAGCCACTGCTGAGTTCAAAATCTATTGTGCAGCACTGTACACTAAGCTTTAAAGCCAGTAGTCAGCACTTTATCACTGAACCATGATCTTGAACCATTCTCATACTAGGTACACAGTTAGTATGTATATAGCAGATCCTATGCTACATGGTATGGATGGACAGAAATATGTAAGGAAGAGTAGAAGTGATGAAGAGAACAGAACATGCTGTGGCATTTATCGGGTGTTTATTCTGGCATTTTCTCACACTTTATTCCTTTCAAATCACCTCTTTGAACAATTAATTTGATACATCTTTTTATATATTCTGGACCCTTTCATTGTGCTCTATTTGATGGCACAAGGACCATCTGGATGTTGTGCTTTTTAAAAGTGGCCTATTGATGAAATTTGTCTAAATTTCCAGCTCAAGCATAAAATATAGTGCTAATTATTATCAAATGATTTTTTACATGTAGTGATATAATGGAAATATGTATGGACCAAATTTAAAGTCAATAGCTTAAATATACCATATTATAAAGTGAGGGGCAGATTTGCATTAAAAAGTAAACTGACCTTCAAAGTGCTACTTCTAACAGAACATTTCTTCATTACATTCAGAAATTGTAACATGATGCGCTTCCATTGTCATTTCTATTTTGGATATTGTATGCCTGTCTTAGACATGATGTATATAGAGCACTCTCAGCTCTAATGCCTATTCACTTTCCACACATGTTTCCTCCAGTTTCAGCCTTTTAACGCGCTTTGTATTTGACTGAGTATATTAGAAAGTTAATAAGCTATATAAGAACATGTAGTATTATTCTTGGAATTTATTCTTGATTACTTGTGAATTCCCTGCCTGTGCAAATCCCACTTTCAACAGATTATGAGCTTTGTGCTCTAATCATCAGTCACTGACATTACTTGCAAATTCATTGTGAACTCTTTTTACTACTGATCAAACCTTGATTAACTCTGTAATATCATTTCTATCATCCAAAACAAACCTGATCTAGATGCCACTAGCAATCAGTGTTCCAGAGAGTATAGACAGCACTCCAAAGATCCAGTTTCTGAAGGGCACAGAGAATTATTTTGGTTGGAGTATTCAGATCCAGGACATCCTCATATCCATAGATCTACTCAAATACTCTAGAAGCACCAAGACAATGCCCATCAACTCAAGTCAAATTGCTGATTGGTAGAGGAGTGACAGCAAGGCACTCATCACTAGCTGCCTCTGATATTCCTCTGCTGTTGTTACTCACATTACTAGTAGCACAACCTTGAAGGTAGCATAGAACACTCTCACAGAGACTTACGTAAACACAAGCATCATGTCTCAGATCAGTGTTCAAAAAGTCGCAGAAGCTTAAGAATGAGGAGGAGGCAAGCATGAAGGCAGAGATCTGCCAGATGAAAGAGCTGGATGAGAAGATCAAAAAGATAGGTGATACTACAAGCAATGGAGAATTCACTCAGTACCTCTTGAGTGCACTTCTCCCATCTTGGGACGTGTTAATTAATTCCATGCAGGTCATAGATGAAGTTATCGGACGTGTTCTATCTGAAGAATCATGTTATGAAAACCGTGCAATGACATTGTCATGGGTATAGCCCCAGCCTCCTATTATTCCATTTTCTCTGATTTTCTACAATTTATTCCACATTTGCACAACCTTCCAAATGTTGTTGGCATATTGGCACCAGTTTACAAGTCCTAGCTGCATGCTAAAACATTAAAATTGCATCACCAATGGGCACGCACCAGTGCATCAGATGCGCCTGCATTGTCGCCATCTCGTCGCTGCATCACGCTTTCTTGGTAACAGCCACACTCTGATCTCCACTGGACCTTCTATCTCCAAGTCTGATAGGCAACGGACATCCAATTCCTATCAGCCCGACAATGTCATATACCATGACACACTGGCCTCTGCTTCTCGCTGAGTCCCCTAAATACTAGCAGATGCTGGAACTACAGTTGCTTAGGTAATACCTGGGTCCATGTGTAGCCTGAGCAGTATATAAAGGGCCCCTTTATCACTACCTAGCCCCACTCAACTTGGTTATTTGGGCTAGCTGAACAAGTTAACACAATTGTTGTCAGACCTTAGTTAGCGCCACTTTTTGTTAGGTCCACGTAGTATCCCTGGTGCTGTGTCAACATCAGTCCACATCATTAGGTTGAGATCTTTGTGCACCCGGATGTTATTCCTCTATTTAGTGCCTTGTGCACAGTCTCAAAAAATTTTGTTCCCTCTGTTTGAAGAGTAAGTCTCTTCAGTGATTGGTGGCAGACATACATGCGTAGTACTAATCCCTGCATAAAACCAGTGCCTAAAGATTTACCTGAATGCCCTCGTGCTTTTAAACACCTTGCAGACAAGTGCCACTCCCGCCTCTGCTGCACACTGTCCGAAGCCGTATTCAATCAACTCAGTTGAGAACGTGAAGCAGGCACCCTGCACCAGTACACCACCACTGAACTCAGAGCCGTTGTTTGACATGTCTCCACACTCCTGCCCCCATCCACCTCGCTCCCAACTATCAACTGGGACACCATCAAACAAGCCAAGCTCGCTGCGCACAACAACCACCAGCACTTTCAGGCATAGTGAGACCAAGCCCATGCTAGACAAAATGCGCATGCCAGCTCCTCTTCCAGCTGCTCACTAGCAGACTGCATCACTGCTGCACCCACCTACATGTCCATCGCTCCGAAATCCATCACCATTGATTTCTCCTGATACACGGCTGCCAACCTTGCTTGCATCTTCACGCCCAAGTTTGCTGCCATGCTCAAATGTTTCAACATCTTAGAAACACTTGACTGCTCCAATGTCATCAATGAAGACATCAAAACTGTCTTCAAGCTCAGAGATCGCCTTGCGCACCTTGATCGCACTGTCAAAGACATGGCTCGCATCATTAGCATCGAAGAGTGGAATCACTGGAACTCAGGATTAAAGGAAATCGGCGGAATCTCTTTCAAAGGACTGCGACGCAACCAAGTCCGAGTTTTTAAAGTGCTCTGCGCAGTTTGGAGAAATGGGTATTTTGATTAGAGTAGTAAAACTGGATGAGTATATACTTTTCAAATACATAGACTATAACAAGGAAAGGATGTTCGATCCATATATACTGGATTACACATTTGAACACCTCGTCAAACTCAAAATAGTACAATTATTCCAAGAACTTCCTTTCCACTCTCTATAAACCCATTTTCAGTACTCTCAAACAAGTCTGACACAGTGGCTGATTTTCGTCTTGTCTGTACAGCCCAGCCTCACACCTATCATTTCCAAGAAGCTCGGAACTATTACATCAATGACCAGGGAAATTTAAATACCTGCATGAACTACCTCTGTCCAAACCGCTACTATGAACACCCAACAGCACCTGTCACCATCAAAGAGCTACCATTTCTATTCATAAACAGAGAACAAGAACAAGAAATCTGCAATCAATATGTGTTGGACGACCTCACTCTCGAAGACCTAGGCCCGGTAATGGACTGGCCCATAAATAGGCCTCCAGGTCGAAACACCCCGGCTCAAGCAAAGTCTCTGGTAGAACCTGTCAACTCCCACCAAGCCACAATGCAAGATGTAATGAACCTCATGGCTACGCTTATCCAAAACATCAATGATCTTATGGTTAGTGTAAATCAGTTTATTGCAAATGCAAATACGTGTCCAGCTGTGACCGTGACAGTTTCCTCCTTTCAATACCAGTCTATCATCAAAAAGCCCTCCACATTTGACGGAAAATCCTCTGAAAAGGCTAGACTCTTCCGCAGTGCCTTCTGCGTCTACGTCAGAGCCAAAAAGGAACTATTCACACAATGGGACACCAATGACGCTGCAGTTTGGGCACACCCTCACATTGACGACCTAGCCGAAGGGTGCACTCCATTCAGCTTGTCCTGGATAGAATTTGTTAAACAGTTCTCGGCTAAATTTGAACCAGTGGATGCTATTAACGAAGCCAAACAAAAGCTTATATTGATCAAACAAGGAACTAAGACACTTGCAGACTATCTCTTAGAGTTTGAAACCTGGTCAAAGTGCACTAGATGGTCAGAAGCCAATTTATATGACCGCCTCAAAACTGACATGAACTCGGATTATATCAACCAGTTATTCTACTTCCAAACTCTGGCAAAAGATTACATTACAGTTGAAACATACGGCGCAACCATTGACCTGCAGAAAGCAGATTTGGCGGCCAATCAAGGCAGACTGGTTTTGCAGCCCTAGATGACGTCTTGCTCCTCCGGTTTCCGCAATTCAAACACAATGGACATTAACGCTGCTCTCACCGCTGACATCTCAGCTTCCCACTTCAACAATCTCTTCAGTGATTTCAGGGACCCAGTGGAGATAAAAAAATAGTTCAGCAAGCTCATAGTCAGACGCTGCAAGGTCTGCAGGTCTAAAGGTCACAAAGCGGAAGGGTCACACAAGAATACCAAGTGTCAGCACTGTGGGAAACCCAGTCATTGGAAGAAGCTCTGTTTTTCCTGCTATATCAGACAACTCGCCAAGTCACAATCTGTCAGAGCAACATTGTCAACCAACCCTTCATCTTCTATTGGCACATCTCAAGACTCAGCTGCTGATGTCGCTGGTCTCAAGGATATGATAGTTCTAATGCAAAAACAGCAGGCCAAACTGATGGCAAAAATCAGCCAGAGTTTTTAGCAAGGACTGAGACTAGAGCTGCAGCTCTGGAGCCCAGTTTAGATAAACAGCCTTTAACAGCGCTGGCTCCTGTATGTTCAGACTCGGATCCTTTGAACTATATTTCATTGTGTACTGTGTCATCCATAGATCACCTCTCGTCTCATTTTCGCGTATTTGTAACACTATCTGGAATGAATAAGTCTCTACACACTCCTGCCATGATTGACTTTGGTGCCACCAATTATTTTCTACATGAGAAATTTGCACACAAAAACAACAACATCTATAAACGACCACTCAAGCAACAGGTTGGCCTCCAAAATATTAACGGCTCAACTAACAGTGCTGGTGCTATCACACACTATGCTAGGCTCAAAGTCAAAGTCAGATCACGAGCCCCTGAAGAATATGACTTCTTCATCACAGACGTTGGCCCTGAAAACATCATCCTCAAACTACCATGGTTAAAGAAAGTCAACCCCACTATATACTGGGAGACAGGCAAAATGACGCTTCCTAACTGCTCGAAAGCATCGTCTAATCCTCCTGTGTCACCAAGTTTAACTAAAGTCGAAGCTAATCGAGCAGAACACTGGGCCTGAGTGAAGGCCAGCTTGCTTGACAACACCACAAATGAAGTTTATTGCTCAGCAGGCTACACCTACTCACAAAGGTTGCAGTTGAGCAGAACAAGGAAAAGTACTCAAAAACCTTTGAACAGCTTGTTCCAAAAGAATATCACCAGCATACTCATGTCTTCTCTGAGACTGACACAATGAGACTTTCTGAACACAGGCCTTGGGACCATATATTGACCTTAAATTGGACACCCCTTCAATGATCTGCTCCAAAGTCTACCCAATGAGTCTCGCCAAAAATCAGGAGCTACAAGTCTTCCTTGATGACACTATCAAGAAAGGCTACATCATCCCCAGCAAGTTGCCTATAGCTTCACCTGTCTTTTTTATCAAAAAAAAGGATGGCAAGCTCAGGCTTATTCAGAACTATCGCAAGCTCAACGACATCACCATCCAGAATAGATATCCACTACCTCTCACTAATGACATCATCAACAAATTGCAGAGTGCAAAAATCTTCTCTAAATTTGACATCCATCAGAGCTATACTAATGTCCAGATCATGGCTGGAGACAAATCAAAAGCCACTTTTGTCACCAATCGGAAACTCTTTGAGCCCCGTGTCATGTACTTTGGACTGACTAACACACCAGCAACCTTCCAGGCCCTCATGGACACAATCTTTACAGACCTCATTGCCAAAGGCAAAGTCACAATGTATCTAGACGACATCCTCATCTGATCTTCGGATCTTGTTTCACACTGAAAGATAGTACACGAGGTACTAGAGCGTCTCAAAGAATATGACCTCTACTTATGTCCTGAAAAATGTAAATTTGAGAAAGACCAGATTGAGTACCTTGGCCTTCTCACCAGCAAAGGATCAGTCAGCATGAATCCTGGCAAGGTTAAAGCAGTTACAGAATGGCCTGCACCTGCAAACCTAAAAGATGTTAGAGGTTTTATTAAGTTTGCCAATTTCTATCGCTAGTTTATCAAGAACTTCTCCAAGATCGCTCACCCACTGCACGACCTCACAAAGAAGGATGCTCCCTTCATGTGGAGCTCTGCACAGCAATAGGCTTTCGATTCACTGAAGACCAAGTTTACAACCGAACCAGTTTTCACACTCTGGCACGCAGATCGGGGTATACGTGTACAAGTCGATGCTTCTGGCTATGCCACTGAAGGTGAAATCAGTCAGCTTGATCCAAATGATACCCTGTGGCATCCAATTGCCTTCCGATCACAGACTATGAACGCTGCTAAACACAACTATAAGATCTATAATTGTGAACTTATAGCTATCATCGAAGCTTTCAGAGACTGGCGACACTTCCTCGAAGGATTGCCCAAACCATTCGAAATCTGGACTGATCACCCAAACCTCCAATACTAGCATACAGCACAACGACTTACACATTGACAGGCTCGGTAGGCTTTCAAACTTGCTGACTATGACTTTGTGCTTACTCATAAGCCTGGCAAAATCCATCTCGTCGCAAACTCACTTTCTTGCCCCAGCTCTCAATATATCTCTGATGACATGAATAACCAAATGCAAGTTGTACTGCCTGATGATAAATTTGTGAGCACCACTATGGATCTAAGCCTTGGCCTGGAACACTTTGCACAACTAGCTGCTACAGCATTCGTCACAAGCTCCTCTCTAGAACAGGAAGTTTGCAATGTCACCTCTCTAGACAACAAAGTCTCTACAGCACTCTTCAGCCTCCAGGCAAAAGAGCCTTGCAAGCTAGTGGCTCACTGAATGGGAAGAAAATGAAGGTCTCATCTACTACGAGGGCAAAACTCTATATACCAAATGACGCTGCCCTTCATAACAGAATTATTGAGTCCTACCATGACATCCCTACCACTGGACACCTAGAAAAACACGAGACTATTGAACTAGTCTCATGTTATTACTGGTGGCCAGGCATGAACTCCGCCATTGCATGATACGTAGCTAGCTGTGATAAGTGTCAGAGATACAAAGGTGCCAAACATCTTAAGGCAACTTTCGCACCACAAGAAGTTTCTAATGGACCTTGGTAACACGTCAGAGTCGATATAGTTGGCCTTCTTTCTCAAACAAAGTCTCCTGGGAAATATGATGCTTTCACTGTCTACATCGATCACTACAGCAATCAAGTACATCTTGTGCCTTGCCGTACTACCCTCATGGCCGAAGGAGCATCTGAGATACACTTCCACAAAGTGCTCAGACACCACGGTCTCCTATGCAAAATTTTCTCTGATTGAGGACCACAATACGCAGCACACTTTATGCGGAGTTTGTACAAATGACTCAGTATCGAGTCAGGTTTAACTACAGCCTACCATCCAGAAGGCAATGGCAAGGTCAAAAGAAAGAACGCTGAGGTATCTAAATTCCTCCGGCTATTATGTTCACAACACCAAGATGACTGGAATAAATGGCTGCCTATGGCCGAGTTTGTACTCAACTCAAATACATGCTGGTAACAAACATTCTCCTTTCAAAGTCCTCTACGGATACAGGCCCGACTTTACTGTCCCAGCCAGGAAACACTCTAATATCCCAGCGTTGAATGATAGACTTGATCGCATGGCCCAAATCCGCAAGAAAGCAGAAGCAGCTTTCCGTCAGACTAAAGAAAAGACGAAGGCTGACTACAAAACTCATAAAAACCACCTCACTCCTTCAGAGTCAGAGACAAAGTCTGGCTATCTTCAAAGAATATCTCGATACACTAGTAAACTCGTAAACTCAAACCCCGACAGCTTGGACCATTCACAGTGACCAAAATCATTGGTAAACTAGACTATTGCCTCGAACTGCCAAACTGGCTCAAGGTTCACCTCATTTTCCATGTTGACAGGCTCAGCCCATACCACAACAATGGAATGAACAAGAGTTCTACACCTACACCTACATCTATATCTACCAAGTCCAAAGCTCCTACAATCTTCGAAACACTCTCACAGACCCAGACACTTGCGAAATCATCCACAGCACTGCCTCCATTCATGCCACAAAGTGTGTCAACTACAAGCAGCTCTACAAGAAAGGCAAGTCTTCAATCGCCGCTGATCTGCTGCAAGACATCCAGGCACATGTGGCTTTTGCAGCTGCTAATTTTGAAAATCTATGGACTATCGAAGAGGTGCAGCAGTGGGAGGATTGGCAAAAGTGGAATGCAGCGCTGGATGCCAAGATGGCGCAGTTGAGGGCACAGAGTTTGGAAGCTGGGAGAACTGCTAGAAGGTTGCAAGGTCGTCAGTAGTCGCTAGGTTCTCACCATCAAACATAATACTGATAGTGTGATTATCAAATACAAAGCATGTTTTGTCATGCAAGATTACTCACAGATCCCTGGACAGGATTACTTTGCCACGTACACACCTGTCATGTGTCTCAAGTTCTACTAGCTGTGCAGTGCCATCACCACCACCAAAGGTCTTTCTGGTGACATAATTGGCTTTGAAGGTGCCTACTTCAATGGCATATTCAAACAGCCAATTTATTTGCAGCAAGCTTCCAGCTACAATGATGGAACAGATCGCGTCTACATTTTGCTCAAGATGATCTATGACACGAGAGAAATTTGGAACTTTTTTGTTACAAAAAATATGCGAAAACAGCCTGAAAAAATAAGTAAGAAAATGCCATATTTTTCCTCCCGGTATCCGGCGGCCCGGCGACTCGGCAACCCGGCAGCCGAGCCGATTGTCCGCCGGGTGCC